GGCGGGGGGGTTGGGGTGATTCAAATCAGCTCTTGAAGTGAGAACACAGACGCAAATAATGCATTCATCTCTACCTGGGCTTTGAACATGCCTTGCCTGTAATAGTCCCATTGCTACAGTCCTTACAGAGCCTTCTATAGGATTTAAGCCACTCTTTCAGGTGTAGCTCTTTGAATCACACTGTGACTCCATTGGGTATTCAGCCGTGTGCACGCTGCAGAAACGGTTCCTCAGACTAATACTAATTAGCCTGTGGGATTATTTTTCTCATGATGTATCTCATCTGTCAAATGAATTCAGCGCAAGTGAACGGAGCATTTAGATAAAGTTAAAATGATTTTGCGAAATGACTCTGCAGTGGTCCCCAGCGTCTCCAGTGTTTACTTGTCAGGGGGGTGCAGCAGGCGGGAGTTGCTCCACTTATAGAAAATGTTTCGGGTGAATATTTGCACACAGTGGTCTTTTTTCCCTCCTCCACCCTAATTAAACAATGTTAGTCTTATCGGGGACAGAGATATCCATAATGCCAAACCTGGAGCACTTAAAAGCCATAAACACAAGACAAATGTTCATCAGCTGCACGAGCGAGCCATAATCAATCATATGACTTAGCGGAGGAAACAGATTATTTCCTGTGTAGGAGAGTGCTGATGCTGACATAAGAATATAAATGAATGCATTCTAATTGTGAGAAATTTCTGTGTGTATAGTGGTACACAAGCAGATGAAATATACTGGCCTTACATAAGTGGGAGAAAAAAGAAGGTAGAAGGAAGCGTGATTGAAGGAGAGGGCAGCTGTTGGAAGTGCAACAGCAACACCCTGTGGCCATGAGAACACATAACACCTTGAACCCCACTGTGCATTAGACATCAGAGCACAAGGGTTTACAGTGAGTAATAGGTTATAGCTTCTTTCAAGGACAGACTTCACAAAAATAAAGCAACAGACATGAATTATAGACATGAGAACAGTAAGATACACACATATTGATAGAAAATACAACAAATAATGATGAAACAAAGGGAAGTCTAAAAAGGTAGAGCTGCTTTTTAAAGTGATCTAGAGAGCTGAAGCCCAAAAGAAGAGATTTCCAAAGTTTAGCCTCCTTAAGTCTAGAGTGAAAATCAATCAACAGACCTTGGTCAGAAGACCTTAGAAGTATGCTGGAGATTACAGGGTACAGTACTTCTCTTAATGAAGACCATGCAGAACTCCACAAGTTGTCATGAACATATATATATATATATATATATGAACAAGGCTTACTTCCTGTTGCCAGTAGATGTGCTGTGACTATGACTGAATATTGGCACATAGATGTGTTCAAACCAAGGCTCTCATCAACCGTCAAGATTGTAGGGCCTGAGCAGCGCTCGCCCTAATTAATTTACTGAATCAACTAATGTCAACCCAATTAATTTCCAGCAAATCGACGCTTAATTTCCCAGATCCACTTTGTTTGAAGTAATCAGACAGCAACCAATCAAGTTGCAGGAGAGAACCATAAAGAACTAATATTACGTTATTGTGCTGTTTTAATTGTTAAGATGGCGTTACATTTGGTGAAGAGCACAGTATGACTTCTTAAGGACTTGATACTCGAAGTTTAGGACATGGAACATTGTCAGTCTTGACTTGGGACTTGATTGCAAAGACTTGAGACTTACTTGTAACAGAATGACTTAGTCCCACCTCTGTTATCAGCCTCAAAACTTAGATTTCGGGCGCCTGGTTAGCTCAGTTGGTAGAGCTGGCAACCCATGTACCGAGGCTGAGTCCTTGGTGCAGCGGCCCAGGGTTCGAGCCCTTTGCTGCGTGTCATCCCCTCTCTCTGCCCCCCTTTCCTGTCTACCTTCAGCTGTCTCTATCAATTAAAGGCAATAAAAGCCCCCCCCAAAAAAAAAAAAATAAAAATAAAAACTTCAGCTGTCCCTGTGGAGTACAGTCAACAGAAACCTTACTGAAACGTCTCAAGAATATTGTAAGGCAAGTGTTGGCTGCTTGGCAACCACTTATTTCTGTAAAAGGCAGCTTGGTAATCGGCCTATCAGAATAATCCTTGTGCATTCAGTTCCAGAGACTCCTGAATGCATTGTACAGCGCTGATGAGAGCTGCATTTCGTCCTTTCAAGGATCCCATTAAAATCCATCCCCAGCTGGTAAACATCACTTTGGTTTTGCAGGATATTACTCAACATCATCACTTCCATCACATCAATGCCACGTGGCTGCAAGGACGCCTCCTTTGCAAGCAGTTCACCTGTCCAGAAGGAGAGCAGGTCGTTGGGCCTGACTCTTCAAAGATTTTAGGCAGCTGAGAGAGTAAACAAACATGCAACTTCCTGTTGACCGCAGGTCCCAGACCATATGCCGATGCAGGTAGTCCCAGCAAAACTGCCAGGTGAGAGCATTTTAATCACCTTTGAAATGAGCGATTAGAATAATTATTTCAGGGGAGAGGGATGGCTCCTGCTATTAACAACCCTCTGTTCAATATCACAACAAATTAGTTCATGCTCATTAGTATGAGTTGTGCTTGCCTAGTGGTTTGGAAAGCCTCCATTGGGAACTTGCTTTATTACTCCCTGTGAGTGGAGCATGTAATTAGCATTCATCAAGTGCTGTGTTTATGTAACATCCCTCCTCACAAATGTAATTTTGACATTACATAAGTTGTACTTGCCTGATCAAGGAGGGGTCTTGCTTGCAAGGCTAAATTGTTACATCAGAGGTCAGCACAACTTCTTCTGAACTCAAAGTCTGTAGAGAAAGACTGTTTGGAACCAGCAAGTTGTATTTTGCACAAAAGTCAGGTGTCAAATCAAAAAGTCAAGTCAAGTTTATTAGTGTTTATCACATGTTAAATGGCCCACTGAGACATGCAACAATTGTGGATGAGTCAGTCTGATGCTCTAAGGAAATCTACAAAAGAATAAAATCGTTAGGAAAACAAGGTGAGATTCAGAGAGATTGCTCCCAGGGAGGTTAGGAGCAGTAAAATGGCAATTACCCAAAATGAACAGAAAGAAAATGTAACACATGGAATTTAATCAAACAGTGGCAGAAAAGTATTTGGTAAAAGTTCTGGATTCAAATAATACTTAAAGATCCCCTTAAGCTATGTATTATATATATATTATAGTCTGCTTTGAACAATCGTGTGTGTGCAGTGTGTCTGATATGTTTTTCTGCAAAAAAAACTATAAAGTCTAATTTCCACATTAAAATCCTGAAAAAGTCATCACCTCCTTCTCCCTCATTGTAAATTCTTTAGAATCTCTGAATATGCAAATGTTGTTAATTTCTAAAGTGTTTCTGCTGGACACAAGATGTCTCCTACTTCACTGTAAAGTCCATTCTCAGTGGATGTGCACTGGTGGCTTCACGTTTTTACATCACACTGTACAAGTTGCATACTGGACCAGACCAAACTCTGCTGCACATACATCATTCAAACATCACACTGTAGGAACAAGAAGAAACATTCATTTCTGACTGGAGGAGGGCTTTAAGTTAATGTTACTTGTATAAAGTTGCATATTTAGTCTTGTTTAAAATGCGACTGTTTTTTCGCCAGAATGGACGTATAATAGGTCTTAAATTGCTTTCGTAATGGTCAAAAGAGCTTAAAAAGTTAGTAGTACTTAAATTCAACCCGCTGAAACCTGCAGAAACCCAGTCCTGTTTAGCAGCTAGCTTGGTGGTTGTAGTCAAGAATGACCAGAGATTGTGAAGAGTACAGAAAAGTACAGTATTACGAGCAAAACCTATCAAGTCAGACAGCCCTGGTCAGTGTCATATATGTTAATATTGGATACTATTTTTTTCCCCCTTACATTGTTGATGTAACTATGTTGTATTAATGTCAATGAACCGTAACTCCATCACTCAGTATTCCAAGAGCTCCACTGTTGGGGACCCAACTTGGGGAGCAGAACCAAAACCTTTCCTAATATCATGTTTGAATAAATTAGAAATCAATCACTTGTTCAGCAACTTTTTCTTTGTCTTGTCTTTTCATCTAACATTTTGAATTTGACTGAACTGTCTGCAGGTAGTTATGATGCTGACAGACACTGATACTAATTAAGGGTTTGTTCCATTCAGCTCAGACAGAGTAAGGGTACTTGTTGGATGAAGTGGGAAGTAACAAAGTACAAATACTTTATTACTGTACTTAAGTAGTGTTTTCAGGTATCTGTACTTTATTTGAGCATTTATTTTTCTGACAACTTTTTACTTTTACCTACATTTTTACACAAATATCTGTACTTTCTACTTAGATTTTTAAAACAGACTTGTTATTTTAGTTTAATTGGTTTTATTTTTATTTTTTTGCATCATTGAACGCCTTCCCAATAATACCTACAGACGTAGCAAGAAGAAAATGCAGAAAACGGTATGATGAGACAAAACAGACAAGAGAGGGAGACTAGACCCTATTTGAAGTTTCAGTTAGCTTTGCAGACAAACAGCTTGTAGAAATGTCCCTCAGAGAAACCAAGAGAGGACTTTTTACTGTTATACTTTCTTTCTCAAAATAATCACTTACTATCTCAAAATAATGATCAAAATGAATCTTTCCCAATATTTTGTTACTTTGTGTGTGTGTGTGTGTGTGTGTGTGTGTGAAGAATGTGTGTGCTGGTTGCCTCATTGGAAATGTTCTGTTACACTAAATGGAATGGAACCTTAATTAGCATTATTGATTATGGCCATGTTTACCCTACTATTTCAGGTCAAAATGGCTGCTGTGAAAAAGGTCTTAGAGGTAAATCTAAGGTACTTTCCACTATATGTCTGAGGGAAATGTATGTAACTTTTTTTCTCATTTTACTGGCAGCTATAATAATTTTACTTACATTTCAGATTAAGGTTTTTATATAAAACAAATGATTGTCTTGTAAAACATCATGCTGTTACTGCATTAAAGTGCATTAAAGTGAGCCTTTCCCTTTCTAAAGGTTGGAGTATGAGCTCCTGTTCAGTGTACTGGGGACACAATTGCAGTGCGCACACACTTCCTGATGGAGCTGCTCCTGTGAAGAATAAAAATACACTCTTAGCAACTCAGCTAGAGGAGTTGTGAAAAAGTTATGTCTGGCTGTCAAGTGGAGAGTGAAAGGCTATTTTTAAAAATGGACGCTATTCCTCGGATTTCCGTACATGAATAGTAGAAAATATCCCCATGTCCAGAGAGCCGGCACTGGTGACAAGTCAACTGCGAAGGGTCGGTTTGTTGAAGCTAATAAGTCCCGGTAGCTAGCGTTAGCAACCAGGCCAGCCGGCTAACGCAAGCTGGCTAGCTAATACACTGTAGGCCTTGGGTAGCTTGCTTTTACTTGCGGTTGTGGTATAGTAATGTTAAATTGTGGTCAGCACTGGTCTGTAGTGATGCTATATGCACGTAACTTTAGCTTTATGTATGCCAAAAGCTCACTTTTATAAATGGCAGTGGGTTTTTCTAGGGCAGCTAACTTAGTTAGCTCTGCTAGTTAAGCTACGTGGCTAGCCAGTTGGTTGAGTGCATCATACCAGCTGACAGTTAAGCTGATGTATCTGGTTTGACAGCTCTCGACGGGATGTGTGACTAACAGTGCTGCTATTTCTTAGATTGCTAACATATTTACTACTTTACCTGCCATGTCCCTGTGTGAAGACACGTTATCTACACAAGTTTAACCATTAGGATAAAGCAAGTCTGCGCATCCTTAGGCTCAATAAACTCGAATTGTGCGTTAATATTTATGTTATTTCTGTTTGCAATGTGCTTTATTTACAGTAAGTTACTAGCTGACGTTGGCTAGTAATGTCTCTAACGTTACCATCCGCTGATATAATTGAAACACCTCCTGGATATCCGTTTGAAGAAATCAACTATGAGGATATTGAAGTTGAGGAGGTATGTTGTGTTTGTATTGTGCCCTGTCCATGTCCTTGGTACTGTCCAAACTCCTTCAGGAGACAGAGGTTCATACCTGTAATGTGCTGTACTTGTCATTTTCAGGTGGTGGGGAGAGGAGCCTTTGGGGTTGTTTGCAAAGCCAAATGGAAAGGCAAAGATGTTGCAATCAAAACCATCGAGAGTGAATCGGAGAGGAAAGCCTTTATTGTTGAGGTATTGTAATTGTCTTTACTAGAGCTTTTCTTTCTACAACATGTTACGTTGAAACACTCAGGCGAAATCTAATATCACAGTTTCAGTCTCTATCAGTGCCATCAGTTGTAGCAGGGCAGAGTACTTGCAGTGACAGATGGGTGATAAATATTTGTGTGCTTGTGGTGTTGAACAGCATGCATGCAGGTGGAACGGTTTAGTAATGTTTCCTCTTTGTCTCCAGCTCCGGCAGCTTTCACGTGTGAATCACCCCAACATTGTGAAGTTGTATGGCTCCTGCCATAGTCCAGTAAGTCAACTGCAGTGATATTATATGCTTAAATGCTCCCCTAACTGCACAACCATGTTGTTAATCCAGTTCACCGGTAATGTTGTGTCTAAATATAGTCTTGTACTGTATGTATGTATGTATGTATGTATGTATTTTCCATACATTGAATCTGTGACTTTCTGATGATTTTCTTTCCCTCTCAGGTCTGCCTTGTGATGGAATATGCTGAAGGCGGGTCATTGTACAATGGTGAGTCCACATACCAGAGATACTGTCATTAAGACTGTTATATTGCTGATGACAGCATTTGTTTCACTTTGCTAGTAGTAAAATGAACACATGCTTGCACAGACATGAGAAGCAGCCCTGTTCCGTTGACCCTCCCACTGTCTGCATGTTCAGCCACTTGTCTAGTTCCTTTACACAGTGACAGGTAGTACAGTTTGTTTGTCCCTTCATTAAATTTCCAAATGAATTTGAGAAATAATGAGGTCAAACAATATGCAGTAATGTTAAAATGTATTGGTAATGATATATATGTGTCAGCAGCATCATAGAAATTGTGTAAATATGACATTAAGACTTTTAGCTTATGCTCAATAAGTAGGGGATACACTGGTGAAATATACAATTATACAATATAGAATCTATTACTCACCGTTCTTAAAATACAGTCGCGGCTGTTCCTAAGAAAAGGATAATTATGTTTATTGCAATTTGGCTCTTGTTTTCTTACTTTTGTTCATCATTGCTGTAATAATACGATTGTATTTCCTAAGTCAGTTGTCATCTGGGAATGCAGCAACATCACTAAAAACAAGTCAAGAAACATGAGCAATCAGACGACCGTCGGGTTAAAACAATCCCCAGGTTACTTAGAAACACTAGCATGTTTAGTTTTTAAAAAAGATGACGGTGGACGGCTTCCAACGATTCTGAAAACAAGATAAAATAAAACTATTATTGTGCCTCATTCCGTTTCACACTCCATCCTTTACAGTGGTTAACTTTCACCCCTCTAACCACAAACTCGCTCTCAGCCAAGCTGTGGCATGTTTTTTTCAGCTTGCGTCAAGAGAATGGAAAGAAAGTCATTGGCTGTATTCACACCAAATCAGGCGTTATGCTTAAGGTTGCACGGGTGATCCACTGGCTTTCTCATCTCCACCGCTCCCTCTCAGGGAGGGACGCACTGTGGAAGTCCCAAAACTCAGCACAAATAAGTCAAGAGAGAGCAAAAGCATATGACTGCTTGCAGCGCATGTAATGACTCTCTACAGTTAAAATTGTTACTGTGCGTAACATGCCCAGAGCTGACAGTGTCGCTGGTCTTCATCACATTAAATACTGAATGAGTTGAATGAGAGAAAAAAACTGACAGTAAATAAATGAACACTGAGTAATTGTGTTAATCTCAATACTGTCCTAAATAATTGTAATTATGATTTTTGACATAATTGATCAACCTGAGCAGATGGTAGAATTAATACCCAAGCTGTATGTCAAAACACTACAGACCTCCTGCTTTAACTTTGACCTACCATACATACCAATGTTGTATGCACCAGCTTTTTCCGTGCAGTGAGGGATTATTATCAACATTTCAGGCCGTTTACCTCCAAATAATAGTGATTTTAGATCATCTGGATAAACTGTCTGATCGTCCGACTGTTCGTGTTCCTGCTGCATTGGACTTTGATGTAGCAATATCGCTGTGTTTCCAGATATCAGCAAGTTCTCGGGTTAAAAGGTCGTAACTGATTGAAATGATGGCCAAAATATTAAAATGAATAGGGCCCAAGTGGTAATAACGTGGAATGAACCATTACAAATGTATTGTTTATACATGCAGTTAGAGTCTCCCCAACTCTAAAAGTATCATTGCAGTGTTTCATACTGTGAAAACACATTGTATCTGTTCTCTCAGACATCAGTGGTTGGAACAGCTTTCATTCCCAAGAGGTTCAGACTAGCAGTTTTTCCAGGATGTGAATCCTACAACACGGGACTCTGCTGTGCTTTAGACTTCACAATTACCTTCCTCCCTAGTTACTGAATCTCTATCAAAGTTACTCCTGGGAGCTCCTTTATGCTACCAGAACTTTGATGTCATTCAGTTGAATTGTGAATACTGTTTTTGAACAAGGTATTCTCAGTTTTCCCTCCTGGAATTAACTTGTTACAAAAGCTATAAGGAAAAGGTAGGCAGCCCTGTGTGTCAGGCCTCTATATGTGGGTGTGTGTAGGACGGTGTAATGAAGCACTACTTTCTGCTCGGTTCCTCTGAGGGTTTATTGTCTGTGGTGGTGGTTGTGACTGTGATCTCTTGTCCACAGTGCTGCATGGTGCTGAACCCCTTCCCTATTACACTGCTTCCCATGCCATGAGCTGGTGTTTACAGTGTTCCCAGGGCGTGGCCTATCTCCATGGCATGAAACCAAAGGCTCTCATTCACAGGGACCTCAAGCCACCCAAGTATGCTCCTCCTCACCTCACACTCTCTTGTCTCCTGTTTCACTGTCCCAGCAAAGTGCTTTGTGGTTTCGTTTACATTTGTTTGATTTAGTTTATGTTGCTCAACAAATATTTAACTTTTAACTAGG